GTTTCCTTTCATGCATCTCTTTGGCTTCTCTCTCTTTCCTTTTAATTTCCAGCTCAGCAAAGAGTTTCATTGTCTGTTTATATACAGCTTGTTTGAACAGTTCAGGATCATCCTCCTCTACAATTGTAGGTTTTCCTTCCTTCTTTAACTGTTTTTTTCGCTCTTTCACAGTGTGTTCCACGTATTCTTTTCCTGCCTGAATTACATCCAGGGCCCTCTTCTTTTGCTCCTGATCCAGTAGCAACTTGTAAGCTTTGTCCACAGCTTCAAAAGCCTTTTGTGCTCTGTCAGCATCATCTTGATTTTTGTCAGGATGCACCAAGATGGATAACTGCCGAAACCTCTTTTTTATTTCCTCATCTGTAACTTCAGGATCTATCTGAAGAACCTCAAATGGGTTCAAATTGAAGTAAGAGGAACCAGGACGGGTCAGTCTTTCAATCTGATTTTTCGATGTTAGAACCGAGTCTCTTTTCTCTATTTGTTTCACCTCAATGTAGAAGGTCATAAAGGCTTCCTCGGTGCTGCCTCCGCTGCCCGAAGTCCCGCTCTCTCCTGAAGCCGCCATTTCCCCCTACTTCACTATTTTCTTAAACACTTTTACTGATTTATTTTTATTTATTGGGGAATGCTGCAGAAAGTGATTTAGTTCATAAGCTCTTCAGTCAGACGAAATCTTGACTTCACCTCCTGGGATCTCTGTGACCTTAACACACAGATCTCTTTGGCTCACTTTACTAATTAAATCTCTCTTTGGCTCACTTTTGTAATAAAATATGAATAAGCATAACACCTTATGTAAAATCTCTAGTACAGTACCTACTGCCTAGTAAGTAATAAAAAATGACAACTATAATTGCTGAATTATATAACAGGACAGCAGACTCTTGGTAGTATCATGCAAGATCCGTTTTAATATCATTTAAACCTATCTCACTTTCAGATTCATCTGGCATATCTGTCCTAATGGATAGCGCTTGCTAGCTATAGTTTTCATAATTACTTAAGGAAAGTATATTTTTCATGATTGCCTTTCTTTAGCATAGCCTGGCCTTCACCTCCATTTCCACCTGGCAAGTTTCTATTCAACCTTCAAGACCCAGTTCAAAAATCGAGTTAAGATGGTAGACTGAGTTCACCTACATTTTATACCTTCTTCACAAAAATCTCTTTGAATAATGGACAATATATTGCTTAAGAAAACCAAAACCAATAAATAGTTAACAGTGCTGGAAAACGCAGGAGAAGGTCATCAATGGACAGTAATTTTGATGTATATTTAAAATAGAGAAAGCAGTCAGAATATCTCTACTTCTGGCTATCTGGGGAACTTTTTGAAAAACTTCTGAAGGAAAAAAAAAACCATAAGTAGAAATGATAGGTAAAATGTAACAAACATTCTTTCAGATGCATAGCTGAGCTTCTGAGAAAGAAAGATATATCTTCAGGGACCTAAACAGAGGGACGTGTGAAAATTAAATTTGTAAGCTGCCACCCATGCAGCGACTATCCTGGGAGCATTTGCTATGCTTACTAGCCAAGAGGTTTGAGTTTTAATGCCTGCCAGGGAAGAAAACAAGGCCTTTTGTCTTTTAAAAATGGAAGTTGGAACCGAGACCCTGCATAAACCTGGAACCCTCAAGGGGCTACACTGCAGGTAAAACGATGTGCTAGAGTAATATCTCTCTGTCAACAAAGGAGACTAAAAGGAAAATTGTCTGTCCCAGGATGGGCTTTGGGGGAAAAAAATCTTCCCTGCATATTTATAACCACAGCTCTCTATTATGAGGAATTGGGGTCTAAGAAACCGTAAGCGCATCAGGGCCCCATTTAATAGGAAGCAAAAATACTCTCTGGAGAGAAAGACCTTCCACGCATTCTTCACAGGGCTTTCAAAGCCGAAGAAGCACTGAAAAGGGTATCTAAGTTCAAAAAGAAAAGCATAAAAACAGAATAAATCAAGCCAGAGAACAAGAGTCAGCAGAAAGAACAAACACCAGAATTAGACCCTCAATAACACTGGCTAATAAAATTACTGGATTCAAAATATAAATAAGTAAAAAAAAAAAAAAAAAGCAGAAGTAAAGCCGTAAGAAATCAACCATACGCAATAAAAAATATAAAGTAGGACCTCAACAAAAAGAAATCAAGGAGACTGATTAAAAAATGGGCCAAAGACCTTAACAGACATCTCACCAATGAATGAATACATATATATATATATATAAAATGTGAAAAGATTCTCCATATTGCATGCCATCATATAAATGCAAATTAAAACAACAATGAGATGCCACTACACGGCTATTGGAATGGCCAAAATCCAGAACACTGACAACTTCTAGGGGGAATTTACAATGGACCTGCATTAAAATGCCTAGGAAAGAAATCGAGAGAAAGGGGATTTGGCAGTTAAAGACATGATGGGTAATGATTTTCTACAGTCAGTGAAGGAATCATGCTTTCAGATTTAGAAAGCACAATAAATACTAAATAAAATCTGGGTATTTAAAATGTTCGTATTTTGATATTTTCAAAATCTACATTTGAACACGTTGCTGTAATACTGGAAAGCCCAAAAATAGAGAGAATTTAGTGTAGCAGGTAAGAAGAAAAGAGAGGAAACAGCTTTCAAATGAAAACTTATAAGACTGTTTTTCAGAAAAACAAAACTAAATTTTTAAAAAGCCCCTTACTAAACTAGTATCTAAGATACATACATCAAGAAGAAGAAACTTGGGTCCAGAGGGAGGACATGGAGACAAGAAAGGATACTCAGCAAAGCAAAAAATAAATGTGTAGATTTCTATAAATATTATTTATATGAAACAATGGTAATAACAATGACTACCTTATAAGGGTGTTCATAACAAGTTAGAAATAAAAACCTACTAGGTAATAATTTGAATGAGTATATGATCATGACATTTTTCTAAGTTTCTTGTATAGTTCTGATAGAGATTAATTAAATTTTAAAGATTAATCCCCAAAACGTAGAAATTTAGTGTATAACATATAAAAGTGAAAAAAGAAAACTATTTGAAAAATAAGCCAGGAAAAGAGAAAAGTAAGTATATAATAGGTAAATTAGAAAGCAAAAAAGTAGACATAAATTCAAATATATGTTCATATATATGATGTTTGTACACACATATAAACACATATCTGCATGCAAATGTTTACAATATTGTATATAAATACATATTTACATACATACAGATTTTTAAAACTCAGTGTTATATATTATGCCTCCCAAAATTCATATGTTGAAGTCCTAAGCCCCAGTATCTCAGAATCTAAACGTACTTGGAAATAGGGTTATTGTAGAGGTAGTAAGTTAAGATGAGGTCATACCAGTGTAGGGTAGGCCCCTAATCCAACATGACTAGTGGCCTTAGGAAAAGGATAAATGTGGGCACGGAGAGACATACACACAGGGAGAACACCATGAAAAGATGAAGGTGGAGATCAGGCTGATGCCTCCATAAACAAAAGAACTCCAAAGATTGCCAGAAACGCCCCAGGAACTAGACAACTGGCGTAGAGAAGACATTTCCTCACAGACATCTAAAGGAACCGATGCTACTGACACCTTGATCTCAGACTTCCAGCCTCTAAAAGTGTGAGACAATAAATTTCTGTGTTTATGTCATGCATGCAGTTTTTGGTACTGTGCTATGGCAGCCCTAGCAAAATAATATATTTGGTAAATAACAAAACGAAGGCAAAAAATAAAGATGTTCTTTGAAACCAATGAGAAAGAAGACATAATGTACCGGAATCTCTGGGACACATTTAAAGCAGTTTGTAAAGGGAAATTTATAGCACTAAATGCCCACAAGAGAAAGCAGGAAAGATCTAAAATTGACACTCTAACATCAAAATTAAAAGAACTAGAGAAGTAACAGCAAACAAATTCAAAATCTAGCAGAAGACAAGAAATAACTAAGATCAGAGCAGAACTGAAGGAGATAGACACAAAAACCCTTCAAAAAATCAATGAACTCAGTTACATGTGTTTTACAAGACAAATATTTAAAAGATAAAGATAAAAAATGTTGAAAGTAAAATAATTGGAATAAAGATTTATAAGATAAATTCTGGAAAAAAGAAACTGGCGCACATAGTCATATCAGAAATAAAATGTTAACCTCAAAACCAAAGCTTTGTGGTGATAAAATACAGCATTATATTATCATTAAAAAAAGAACTTTACCAGGAAAATATGGTAGTCCTGAACCTGCATGTGTATTACATGGCTATGTGCACACTACATATAGGCACATACATCTATATATAACTTATAATAGAAAAATAAACAGAATGACAACATTAAATTGAAAAATGTAAAATTATTGTGGATAGCAGTAAGATAATTTAGTTAACTACTCTCAGTATTCAATAGAAATAAACAGAATGACAACATCACATTGAAAAATTCAAAATTATTGTGGACAGCAGTAAGATTATTTAGTACACCACTCTCAGTATTCAATAGAAAAAGCAGACAAAAAAACAAAAATCTAAGGATTTAAAACAACAGAATAGCACAATTGACAAGTGAGTTGAGCAACATAATTAGCAAGCTTGATCTAAGAGCCTTAGAACCCTGGGGCTAAATTATTTTACATTTTCCTCAAGCATATAATAAACATTAATGAAAATTAATGCCTACCAGGTCATAAAACCAGTCTCAACAAATTTTCAAAAATTATTACTACATGTATCACATTTCTTAACACAATACAATTTAAATTAGAACACTTAAAAAATATGCAATGATTTGGATGAGATTAGAGACTATTACTCTAAGTGAAGTAACTCAGAAATGGAAAACCAAACATCATATGTTCTCACTGATATGTGGGAGCTAAGCTATGAGGATGCAAAGGCATAAGAATGATACAATAGACCTTGGGGACTTGAGGGGAAGGGAGAGAGGGAGGGCGAGGGATAAAAGACAACACATATGGTGCAGTGTATACTGCTTGGGTGATGGGTACAGGACCTCACAGATCTCCTATAAAAACTTACTCATGTAACCAAATACCATCTGTACCCCCATAACTTATGGAAAAATAAAATTAAAATATATTTTTCAAGGAAGAAAAATAAATAGAATAATGTAAATGCTATATACATGTCTCATTTTATAGGATAAAGCTAAATGCTCAATTAGTACAAAACTGATGTTCTTAAAAATTATGCTAAAAATATGAAAATGATGAGATGAATATTCATGTAAGAATCGAGAGTAAAATAAAATAGAATAATGGAAAATATAATTGAATAAGGAACACAAATATAAAATCATACAACAATAAAATATAAAAAAATTAAATAGAAAACCAAAGCAAATCGTTATTTTAAAAAACTAATAGATAAGCTAATCCTATCAATAAACTGGCATGATTTGTCAAGAAAAAAAGAGAAGTTCTAAGTAAATATGAGAATTCATTGAAAAAGAGGGACACGTATAGATGAAGGGAAGATTTAAAAGATAAATGAAAGAATGATATTCTTACAAAGTTAGGTAAGTGGATTTGAAACTTGTATTAAATGAACAACTT